TCGAATCCGACCTGCGGCCCTTAGCTGCGTGTCATCCCCTCTCTCTGCCCCCCTTTCCTGTCTGTCTTCAACTGTCACTATAATAAAGGCAATAAAAGCCCCAAAAAATATACTCTAAAAAAAAAAATAAAATAAATGTGCAACGACTAGTCGACTACTAGCTTTAAGCACTGCGAGGACAATCTAGTAGAATTTATTTTATTTTACATAAAGTTCCTCTTCTAGAAAACATTGCTGTGTATTTATTTATTTATTTACATTACATTATTATTTACAATTACAACAACAAACGTAAATTTGAATTCTGTTCACAGCTGCTGAAAAATTAGACTTAACGACAAAAAGATTGTTTCCTGTCTGGTATTAACATTTCCAGGATCTTTGGTTATTTTAATCGATTTTCAGGTGTTTCCATGACTAGTCTCCAAAATGTCCAGGTTTTTCTAGGATGCATTGAAACTCCGCACACACCTCCTGTGTCTGTGTTTGAACCTTGAACATCTCTTAGACTGATGCATCCTGCAGAGTGACCCTGAACGCACCACGACAGGACGTAAAAAACAAACTTCACACTAAAATGTGAACAGAGGGGTTTTTTTTCTTTGGGGATGTGACCCACATACCGCCTGCTGTCTCATACACACACACACACACACACACACACACACACATACATACAGTAAAGTACATACAAAGTTCCTCTCTCTTGTCCACACACACACATGCACACACAGCGTTGCTCTGTGCATCATTACACTCACTGTATTGCCTTACACAAGTAGAAACCTGAAGACTGTGTTAAGCTGTTTAAGACTCTTTTAGCTTCATTAAGACAGACAGAGCTCAGTCAGACAAAGTAGCTTTCACTGAGGCCCACAGTCTGCGGCATTCAGTCATGGATAATTTAACACAGACCAAATGTCAAGTGATTTTCAACTTTTACTTTGATTCTAATCCATTCTTTTCCTCCTACGATACATTCTATTCTGTTCTATTCTATTTTGTCCTCTTCTGCAGTCATAATACAAATGTGCTGACTGAGAAATGTTCTCTTGTCTGGCAGCCAATGTCAATCATCTTGCCTGTTTGTGGAAATCACACCTGAGCCAAAAAACGCTCTGCAAGTGCTTTCACATGTCTCTATTATGCCCGAGGAGAGAGTGATTTAACTTCAGAGCCGCATGGAGAAGCATCAGAAATTAAAAGTGAGGGAAATGATCTGACAGAAATACTCGATGAGACAGAAGTTGGTATTTTCTACTGGTGCGGCTGCTTTAATGTGGTTTCACAAACAGACCAGACATTAAAGCGGCTTGGAGTCATTTTAAAATATGATTTTCGTGATCTTAGCATAAAATTTCCTCTATTGTTCAAGTCAGAATGCTTCTATGGCTTTCATACTATTATCCCACATCTCATATTGCCTTCATTCTATTCATTCTATAGCCTTATTTTGAGTCATGTTTTCTCAGTGGATGGTCCAAAAACTGTAGTGCAAGGTAAAACAACGCAAAGCATAGTCTACTTCCTGTAAAGTTAGACATTTATAACATTTCTTATCATTTTCCTGTCAATTTTGAAAAGACCCGATCCTGATTTTCAAAAAATTAAATACCCACATGACCAGGTGTTTATGCTGCTCGATGAGGCGTCCATCAACTGCTTCTTTAGCTACTAAAAGAAAAGAAAAGAAAAAAACATGAAAGAATATCTACTTATTAAGGACCGGCTCTGTTTTAGCTCTGTTGTGACTGCAGTCAGCCACCAGGGGGCACTGCAACTTCATGGCCTTGCAATGGAGCAAGGGAGGAACGCCTTTGGAGGGAGTGTAGTGGGAGTTTGTGACAAAGAGAGAAAGTATGACAGAGAAAAAGACATGAGAAAAGTAGTTAGGAGGACATAAATGTTGGGAAAGTGATTTAAAAAGATAGACAGAAATGGACAGTGAAAGACTAAAATAGAGAGGGAGGTATATGAGACAGAGGGCAGTTACAAGAGAATACTGAGTTTGTTGATTTGATCAGATGAGTTCAGGGGCAAAGACAATACTTTCTCCTGTCTTTCAGCTTCACAGAAGGTCACTTGCCTGTTGTCTGTCTGAAACTCTCTTTTTTTTAGTCATGTCTGTTCTGTGGCCTCAGTTCTAGTCTTTAAAGCAGGGTTTTTCAGCATTAACGTAAGTAACACATCATTATCAAATGTATTTCTCCACTCTAAATGAGAAAAACTTGTTTAAGTGGACAAAGATGAAGTTTTGTCTTTGATTTTGAAAGAAAAAATATTTGTATTCTATCAGTTTTGTTTGAGTTATCTCTAGTATATTGACAAAAAAGAAAAAATGAATCAACTCAATAAACAACATTTGTCACAAGTGGGATTCAGCCTCCCCTTGGCTTGACTTGGTCTTGACCTGTATGTCACTCGCTCAGATCTGACTATACATCTCATTTAGAAGTCAGCAGCAACTGTGACTCACAATGGCTGAAACAGCACAATGACCTGAAAAAGCTAGAACACAACCAACATTATGGGAGGTCAGGGGTCACAGTCACAGAGCCTGGATAACAATTGTCAATACTTTATACTGTAGGACAAGAGTGAATGACTATAAAGCTAGAGTGACATTGAAAGTTGGAAGTAAGAAAAAGTTTTTTAAGATGGAAAAGACATGACAAGGACATGTGACATCACTGGAAGAGAGAGAAAGAAATTAAGAGACTGAAGTCAGAGTTTGACTACACTTATTCCCTAATAAAGTTGAATGTCTTGACAGAATTCACTTTCTTATCCTGATCAGACAATTCTGCATTATGATCACACACGAATCAGTTTAGTCGACTGATTGGGCACATACTTAAAGGGGCCTTCCACCAATTTTACACATAATGTTTAATTTACCAGTATTCCAATGTAACCTCAGCAAGTCTATGGGGCTTAAAATTTGTAAGAGAAAGTGTGGGGTTTTAATCATGAAAGACACAATTGAGTTGGATTATGGGAAATGTATGATCCAGGGTTTTCTGTGGTTGACCATTCTTTTTAAAACCTTTCTCTCGTCAGTCTTGTACCTTAATAGAAGTGTAATACTAAATCACTGGGGCAAACAGTGAGTAATTCAGAATTTAAAAAAAATAGTGTATGGTAGCTGGAGAGATTAAGACAAATTTAAGAATTGCATAGTAATTTAATGTGACCACAGCATGTTCCATTGTTAGGTAATACACCAAAAACCAAACTACAACGTAACAACAATAAAACTACTTTTTTCCCCTTTTAAACAGGTTTATTTTTCACAATATTGTGGCACTGATGATGAGAAATTTAAAGGATTTAAAAGAAATGCTAAGAGGAGGAAGGAAAGAAGAAAGAGACACAAAGACGAAGAGAGACAGAGTGAGAGAGCGAGTCAAAAGCCTGGAAGTGTTTCCTGAGCTCTTGTGTGTGTGTGTATGTGTGCAT